ATATATATATATGTATGTATAATCCTGAAAATTTTCCTCTTTAAAAGACAAGGAGAGTGAGCATGTATGAATAATGTATGTATCCATTCGTCTCTATTCTATGTATGTATGAAAGCGAAGTCTCGATGGTGTAGAAAAAGAGTCCGGTGATGATGATTGATCTCGAGACTAGTGATGGTGTCGGGTTGCGCTTTTCAAATGGATGCGTATATGTGAAGAAGTAATGATAGCAAATATCACTGATCATCATCATCATCATCATCATCGTCATCATCACCATCATTACCATTATCACAATTACCATCATCATCAACATCAACATCAGCATCAGCATCATCAGCATCAGCATCATCAATAAATAGGCACTAGCAAAATAGCATTTGATCGCGCGGCTGTTTTCAAATAAGCCGCGCGTTGTTTCGTTCCATTCATTCTTGCTTGCTTTCCTTTCTATCATCGTCATCATCACTACTATTCCTACTACTATCATTATTATCATCATCATCATCATCACTATCATTATCATCATTATCATCACTATCATCAACTAATAGCAATAGCAGCAGCAGCAGCATAACCACTACTACTGCCACCAGCATCATCATCACCACCACCATCATCACCATCACCACTATCCAGAACCATTGCTAACAGCAAGCAGTGTGTGGTAGCAGCTGGAGCAATAGGTTATCATCAAAAAGCTTCCCCTTTGCTAAATTATACCCTATCCGATTTCTATCCCATCTAATCTATCCCTGTACTAAATACTACCACTACTACTACAACTACCGATACTACCATTACAACCAATACTATTACTATTACTACCACCATCGCTACCACTATAATATTACTTATCATTTTTATCACTATTATCACGATTACTATTACAACAATTAAATATTGTCATTAATTTTTTCGTTTGGATAAAAAATTTCCGAAAAGGTAAGTGTATACGTATGTGTTGGAATTCCGAATTAGTTTATTATACCGGAAAAACTAATTATAAATTATATCATTAACTAGAAAGTAAAAAAAAAAGTGAAGAAGGAGAGATGAGAAGAAAGGGAAAAAAACAAATAAAGAGTAAATGAAATAAAATTTTATTAAATATTTTATTTTGATAATTTTCGTAATCATACTTTTTTATGTACATCTTAATCAAATAATAATAATGATTATTTATTATGATTACATATAATTAACTATATTTTTAGTTCATCTTTTTCTTTTCCATTATTCTTTCGCTTCATTTTTATTTAATTGATATTTGTCAAATGAAACGAGCGAAATGGAAAAAATTTCTGTGTAAATTTTGTGATAAGAAAAAGTGAGAAAGAAGTATTATTTGGTTATAAATGCAAATATTATCTATCCGTTTCAGAGTTAGCATTGACTATTATTATTAATTACTGTTAAATATTGTTATTAATTATTATTGTTAATCATTATTATTATTATTATTATTATTATTACCATTATTATTGTTCAACCATTTTATTATTTGCTAAAAAAGATCAACGATAACAACAACAAGAAGAATATAATATACTATAATAATTATCAATCTATATGTATGATCTAATCACTATTCAATATGGTTGACGATATTGCAACAGGAAATTTGGATGCAACAACATCGAGAAAAAGAAAGGTAAGTAAATAAGTAAGGAAAAAAGTACGAAAAATTCGGAAAAGTTTTTGGTAGAAGTTAAAATTTTTTAATACAAAAATGAAAATAAATTGCTATCTTTGTTATGTTTGTTAGAAATTTGATTTTTTTTTCGATGAATTGAATTTTACATTTAAATAAATTTGGGCTTAATTGATTTATTTTTACTTCTTCGTTTTATTTTTTACAAAATTAACAAATAAAAATGGATCAGCTAAATAAACTGTATTTTAATCAGTTTGTTACACATATCTTTGACAAAAATTTATAATGATAAGAATGATGATGTGATTTAGTTTTGTAAATATTGATAAGAGTATAATTGTGAGTATAGTAATTGCTATAATCGTAATTATTACAACAACATTTTATATGTAAAATAAGAGATTAAACTAACCTCTAGGTAGTAACTTTTTTTAATTTCTAAAAATAATTCATATTTAGTAGGAAATAATAATACTTTAACATAGTGATAATATGAATGACATTACTAATTGACAACATTGATAACAAACATTTTGTGATAATAATAGGCAATCTAAAAGTTACTTACTGAATCTTTTTTGT